TACACATTGCCTGTTCAACAGCACCTACAAATCATGTCTTTGTATAACACATTTTAGTATTTGTTGCTATTTTTTCTTATTATGTAATTATAACTGCGAGGTTTATCATCCAAAAAAACAAACAAAAAAAAAACAGATGGAACACGTATTGAGAAAGCTACGGGTTGTGGCAGTCAGGATTATACTGCAGCACATTTTGGCACGATGCCAACAACTGAGAAAGAAATACTACACTATTACATTCGCCGCTGCAGGGGTGGGGGTTTCAAGGAAACTGTATGTTTCAGATCAGACTCTTGACTTTTGATCATTTCAATTCCGTAGTAGTCAAAACATTTATGTGAAACACTCACTTTTATTGTGGTATTCTTTGCAATTATCGCCGCGGAGGGCAGTAATCACCATGTTTTGCCCATACCTGTATGTACTCCGTGAAATAACAGTTCTATCCAATAATATCATTAATGTGTGTTATCACTGATTATTTTGATAATCTTTAAGAAGAATATGAAGTATAGTATTTTACAAAGTCCTGTTAAGAAAACTGTTAAATTATAAAGGCATACATGAACAGATGAAATAATTTCAGCAATTTCTTTACAGAATAATCCTCAACAAAACTTAGAAACATTTTATAGACAAATACAGGCTCCAGAATGATGTATATTGCAAAACAATTCAACTGACAACCAGTTTGACGCCACAATATCTTGCTGGAGCCCGAGTTCCACGCGTGATTTTGTTGCGTTCAAAACTGTTTCATTTCAAACTGCGCATGCACACACACTGTGGTTCCTTGAAATGCATACTAGCTGGAGTCTGATCGAAAACATGTCTCAAAAAATACCTTTACATCACCTTTACTGAAAAGAAGAGTTGTTCATGCCATGAATATTAATTTATGCAAATGAGCTGATTATTTCAACCAATCGTGTCATGCAACTCCCCTCCCCTGGTATATTACAAGCGTTGTAAACGTCGCCATGAGTCCCATATCGAACAGGACGCGGCACGACGACTGCCGCGCTTTAAATTGCTGGTTTCTGGTTTTGGGTGTTTTCATCAACAGAACAGCTGTTTATTTTGGTGACCCAGTCAAAATATTTATGAAACAAAAATAGATCTAAATTTAAATATTTACATATAAACAAATTTACATTTATCTTTTAATAAGTGTTTAATATAAATCAATATGTGACATTATTTGTGTGAGCAATAACATTTCTCAAACGTTATACTGGTAAAGCAGAAACAGTTATTTTGTGCATGTACCGACTCAAGTGTTCTATTACATGAAAGGAGCAATGAGAGAGGCTTTTTAGTATGGAGCTTTTGTGAGCTTTGTGTTCAGGGAACTTTGACTCGCTTGGCTGTTAACACTCCCACACAGACATACCAGGTTCGACCCAAAGGAATACTACACATTCACAGTTCATTACAGATAGTCCAACTTTATTCATCCAAACAGTCAGCTGACTTGGAGGTAACCCCTCGCTGTCGTTGACACAATCACGTGATTACCAGAAATGTGCTTCGCATAATTACTGAATACAATTAGTAAACAATATATTTATAAAATTCCTGTAATTTATGTTTATAATATCTACTTTAAACATGAAAGTTACCGATCCTATACAAGGTTGCAACGTCATGATGTAACCCAAATATGCGTACGTCACGATGATGTCATTATGATAACCCAGAAAATAACTAATGCCAAACAATATACCCAGTTCTTGTGAACACAATAATATACTGCTCACATCTTGGAGATGTCCAACGCCAAGGGTAAGTCCAATTTTATTGCACTGATAATGGGTGCATATGTAGACACGAAAGGGCTTCCAATTTTGCATCACAATGGGAAAGGCATGAAAACTCGATCTACTACAATATTCGGTAAACTGGATGTCAATGCACACTTTTTTGAATTTGAATTTTGATAAAGACGGCGTGCACTGTGGCGACAATCACATAAAATGTATTCGTGAACTAAACCAGAAAATGTTTTCGAGGTCAGATCATTCTTGGAAATGTTGGGCCTCCCATCCATAATCATGGTATCTCAGTTGTCAGAACCAATCACTCGCGAGAACGGGGCTCATTCATTAGGGATGAAAAACAAGATGATTCGTGATATAAACTGTAAACTGTTGAGGCAGGTCCAATCGGCCTCGCTACGATTTTGTGGTAATGTGTTACATTTGTTACTAATGTCATCACATACGTACATTTGGCTCACACGCCGTTGCACTATTGTTTAAAATCAACAACATGTTTAGGGTGGAGATTATATACACATATATTACAGGAATTTGATAAATAGATTGTTTACTAATTGTATTTAGTTGTGGAAACTTTGCACATCCATGGTAATCACGTGATCGTTTCAACGACTGCAGCGATTGGCTGATCGCGTGTTTACTCTGCCACGCCTAAAAGATTTATGATATAGTTTGTAAGACTTTGTAAGAGAGAAACAGAAGTGAAGAGGGTAGCGAGGCGTGAGCTCAGCTGACCGTTTCGATGAATAAAGCTGGACTATCTGTAATGTGTTGGGTCGAATCTGGTATCTCTACGTGTAAATGTTATCAGCTAGATAAGTTATAGTTTCTCGAACACAACGCTAGTGTTCACAACACATTAATTAGCTGTGTGAGTAGAGCACTGAAAACTGAACCCAGTTAAAGCGAGATTGAAAAACAGGTTTAACAAATGTTTGTCGTATGGAACATCGCTGAATATATCGCGCCTTTATTTATTTATTTATTTAACACTTTATTTAAAGAGGGTAGGCCAATATACAATAAAGTAATTTTCATTGGGCCCTCTGTAGGGACAAAAAATACAATATACATATTATAGGCTTGAGCCATTTACAACAAATTTTTCACTCAGATAAATTTTGTAGGTTTTCTTAAAAATGCCTAAAGAGGCTGAATTTCTGATATGGAATGGCAAGTTATTCCATAGGGTTACCCCTCTATACTGAAACGTCCTCTGACCCATGGATGTTTTCCTTCGTGAAACCCGGTGTAGCGTTTTTCGTATAGTCCCTCCCCGGGAATTCCATATAATCCATTACCTCAGAACTAGGTACAGGCACGGAAAGCGTACTGGTCAGAAGTTCGCGAAGCCTTCTATGGGTATTTGTGTTAGTTTGCCGACCCCTAGGTGGCGCTTCTGGCACACCGCGATCAGTTAACTCTTCCACGCGTTGCTATGCCCCAGCTATCAACACCTTGGTTGTTGCAGTGTATTTCATTGTTGAATTCAGAGAGGGACAACATTGTTCTGCTGTGTACCATTTTTTATTGGCGTAGAGTTCGGTGTTAAAACCCACCCCTCCAGATGCAATTTCACATACGGCGGTTAGTTCTGTCATTGTTTAGTTTAATACTAGTAGTTGGACTCGTTGGTGACAGCAGGATATGACTCTGGCTACTCGTGTACGTGGTGTTTATTGAGACAGTCTGATGGAGACTAAACATGTGAGCATATTTGATATATGCTCGCAAATATGATGATAACATTCGCTCGTTCCTCGCCATCTTTATGGAATCAATTATCAAATGACATCTGTTCTGCACCAACTGTTAACATCTTCAAAACCAAACTCAAATCTTACCTGTTTCAGTAAGCCTATCTGTGAAACTAAGCGTCATTGGGCATCACTGCGATGGATACTAGGCGATATATAAACTTGTA